TGGATGGCCAGCCGTGCGGCCTTATGCGTTGCTGCGCTTGCTGAAAGGGGCGTACGGTCTGACTGAGGCGCCTCGGTTGTGGTATCTCCGAGCCCGCCAGGTGTTGACGGACGAGGTCGGTTTCGTGGAGCTGCGCTGTGCTCGAGCTGTCTTCGTTTATCGAATGAAAGACAAGTTGATCGCTATGTTGACCTTGCACGTCGATGACGGCATGCTGTTTGGAGACCCACACGATCCCCAGTACCAGGAGGTGAAGGCGAACATCAACAGTCGTTTCAACATCAAGCACTGGAAGAAGGGCAACGACAAGGAGGCAATCGCCTATCTCGGTGAGGAGTGGTGGCACCACCCTGATCACATCGAGATCAGCACGCACGAGTACATCGGCAAGCTGACGAAGCACCCCCTTGCAAGGGGTGACAACGAGGAGCGGGAGATGACTCCCGAGGAGCACCACGACTACCGGAGCTTGCTCCAGAAGGTGCGGTGGCCTGTCGCACGCGTGGTGCCACAACTCGCGTATAGTGTCTCGGCGCTCGCACAGAAGGATCCGAAAGGTCGGAGGTTGCTGCACCTGCGAGTGCTCAATGACATCATCGACCGGCTTCAGGACTACGACAAGAGAGGTCTTGCGACTCTCCGGATCCGCCGTGTGGACATCGAGCGCTTGCAGGTGCTCACGCTTATGGACGCTTCGTTTGCGAAGGAACCCGGCTGTAAGAGCCAGATGGGGTTCATGAGTATGATTACGGACACCCGAGTTTTGAAGGAGCTAACCGTATGCTGTCTAGTGGAGTTTCAGAGCAGTACTATTACACGAGTTGTTGGATCTACGATGGCCGCAGAATCTGCGGCTATGTCCGTGGCTTTGGATCGGCAGCTTTACCTCAGGCTGCTGATTGAGGCAATCTTGTACGGGGAGCCGCCCTTGCAAGGGGACTGGAGGCTGGCGCTGAAGGTTCCAGGGGCGCTCGTGACGGATGCGAAGTCGCTCTACGATCACACGTCCAAGATCGGGTCGATGCCGGTGTCTCGGCAGACCCTCATTGACTTGCTGGTGGCCAAGGATTTGATAGAGCAGGAGGCCATCAAGTTCAAGTGGCTGCCTAATAGCCACATGCTAGCGGATGTGTTGACAAAAGCCGTGCAGCCTAACGAGGTACTATCGCAGTTCCTCCGCCACGGCCTGTTCAGCATGGTGCCTACTGCTGAGCAAGAGGATGAGGAGGCACACCGTCTGCGGCTGCGCCGCGGACAGCGTGAGCGAGCCAAGGAGCGGAAGGCCCAGCGTCGGGTCGCCGTTCCAGGGCCTGCGAGCCCGTGAGGTCCTGATTGCAGCTGCTGATGGACCTAGTGAGGGCTACGGTGATGTATGCATATCCTTTGAGTTGATCGTCTGGAGTAGTGTATCCAGATATTCATATTCTTGTATTTATATTTTGAGCCTCAGGCCGCACCTTGCTTGAGGTGTCTCATGCATATCTTTTGAGTTGACAGTCTGGATTGGTGAATCTAGACATTCATATTTATATTTCGAGCCTCAGGCCGCATCTGCTTGAGGTGTTTCGGCCCGTGGGCTGATATACATTATAATTGCGTGCAGCGTTGCCCTCTCAGAGGGAGCGGCATCGGGGCAGCATTGTACTCACCCAGTGTGAAGAGTGCACTCCCCTGCCCCTCTGCCGCCCGTGCCACCATGTGTGTATGTTGTACACGCTTGTCTTGTTTTGTGGCATGCACCCGCAGTTGGACTGCCGCGCGGTCTTTGCTGAAAACAACTGCACTGACACATGCATCCGGCCCCGCCCAGGTGTGGTCAACATGCTCGCTCATGACCCCACCCAGGCGGGGCCATGAACCCGTATTCAGACCCCAAATCTGAGTTGCATAGAACGAAGAGTATGTTAATCAGTAAAGAAACGAATATCGTAGCATTCAGAAGTAAACAGAAACATGCAAGAATGCGATATTGGTAATATAATTGAATTTGGTGTAAGTATAAGTCGACATTAATTAAATGAAAGAGTACATATTAGTGTTTGTTTTTTGAACAACAATGAATAACAATAATCATAGTACATTTCAGAAAGTGTCTCAGATGTTTAAAGATAGCGAATTATAAGGCAATAGTTGAAGGTATGGAACACGTTTTCGATGATTTTCAAAATGACATTGACTTCTTGTGCACGCATACATCGCACAGAAACGGGGCCATGAGCATGCACTTTGACCCCACCCCAGCGGGGTCATGAGCGAGCATTTCGACCCCACCCCAGCAGGGTCATGCGCTATTTCTTTTACCCCGCCCGGGCGGGGCAGGGCGGGATCACGAGCGAGCTCTCTGTCCCCACCCGGGCGGGGCCATGAGAGCATGCCTGTGGGCGGGGCCACGAGCGAGCACTTTGGCCCCCACCCGGTTTGGCAGCCATGCAGGAGGCGCGCAGTCCTCGAGCGGGTGCCCATGGAAGGAGAGTGCAGGCGTTGTCTGCCGTGCGGGAAGTGCACCGTCCTCGAGTGGGCACGCGTGGAGCGATGCATCACAGTCCGCGGGTCTTGGGGGGGTGGGGAGCGGTCCCCCTGTTAGAGTGCAACGAAAATACCTACCAGGCAGACCTCAGCATTCTTCCACGCCTCACGATACCAGGGGATAGAGTGGCGGATTTTGATCCCCCCAGGGTCGACCGATCCTGGGGGGGATGGCAGCGTCAGCATGGCTCAATTGCTACCAGTGAATCAGGATCACGAGGAAGACGAGGAGAAATGAGGCGGTGGATACGAACAGCACGGTAACGATGTTGTTGTTGATGACGATGATGATGTTGTTGTTGATGATGATGATGATGCTGATGCTGCTGCTGATGATGATGATGATGATTGCTATTATGATGATGCTCCTGATGATGATGATGGTGTTGATTATACTGGTGATGATGATGATGATGATGATGATGATGATGATGATTGTGATGATGTTGATGCTCATGGTGATGCTGATGCTGCTGCTGCTGCTGCTGCTAATGATGATGGTTGTGATGATGCTGATGGCGATGATGATGATTATGATGATGATGCTGATGCTGATGCTGATGCTGATGCTGATGCTGATGATGACGGTAATGATGATGATGATGATGATGAAGACGATGATGATGATGATGATGATGATGGTGATGTTGATTCTGATGATGATGCGGATTGTGATACTGCTGTTGCTGCTGATGATGATGGTGATTCGGATGATGATGATGCTGATGATGCTGCTTCTGATGATGGTGATGACGATGAAGATGATGGCGACGACGATGGTGATGACGATGATGATGACGATGGTGATGATGATGCTAAGGATGATCATGCTGATGATTCTGCTGATGATGATGATGATGATGATGATGATGATGATGGCAATGGCAATGGCAATGGTGATGGCGATGATGATGATGATGATGATGATGATGATGATGATGCTGATGATGATTATGATGATGATGATGATGATGATGATGGTGATGGTGATGCTGATGTCGATGACAATGAGTATGACGATGATGATGGCTATGTTGAGTATTGTATTGGTTATTGTGATGATGGTGATGATGCTGCTGATGATGCTGCTGCTGATGCTGATGATGATATTGTTGACGACGATGATGACGATGATGCTGCTTATGTTGATAGTGGTGGTGGCGATGATGATGCTGCTGCTGATGATGATTATGATGATGATGGTGATGATAAGGATACGGAGGAGGAGGAAGTGGAGGAGGAGGAGGAGAATGAGCAGGAGCAAGAAGGAGGACGAGGAGGAGGAAGAGGACCAGAGTAAACCCAAGAGTCATCAACGATGTTGGAATTAACCCTCCCTGCAAGCTCCCTCTTCATAGGCCACTGCAACGGTTCTTTCCATTGAGGGAACTGCCTCGTTGGAAGACAACCGTTTGAAGATCTTGAAGAATGCCAAAATATTCTCGGGTATTCAGCGCCACGTGCCAACCTGACTGCTGCGTCTTGACGATCTGGAATCGTGCCAGAGCGCCACATCTGGGACTTCAACACCGCGCATCAGCATAAATTCTGCACCCGCATAATCCTGAATCTTTCCAAAACACCATGTACGGTAAGTTGATCATGGGAACCCGTGAAATCTTTAACTTTTGAAGACGTGTGCGCGGCGCTCAGGCGAGATCAACATTTTGGAAAGGAACCGTCCTCAATCCGTGAAGCCCTTGCATATTTTGAAATCGAATGTGCGCGGCGCTTAGGCGAGAGCCACGTTTTGAAAACGGCCCGCTCTCAATCCGTGAAGCTCTTGGAAGTTTTGAAAACGAATGTGCGCGGCGCTAAGGCGAGAGCCACATCTGGAAAACCACCCGCCCTCAATACGTGAAGCCCTTGCAAATTTTGAAATCGAATGTGCGCAACGCTTAGGCGAGAGCCACATTTTGGAAAGGAACCGCCTTCAATCCTTAAACATCTTGCAACCGTTGCAAAAAAATGTGCGCGGCGCTAAGACGAGAGCCACGTTTTGAAAACGACCCGCCCTCAATCCGTGAAGCTCTTGCACATGTTGAAAACGAATGTGCGCGGCGCTGAGGCAAGAGCCACATTTTGAAAACCACCCCACCTCGATCTGTCAAGCTGTTGTCACTTTTTCAGCTTCAGGGCCATAAATGGTGAGGAAGTCTAAGGCGAAACGCCCGGCCCGCCCTAAAAACTGGATTCGGTGTGCGACAGGAGGGAGTTATCTATAAGGAGAAGGAATGGAGGAGGAGGAGGAGGAGGAGGAGGAGGAGGAGGAGGAGGAGGGAGGAGGAGGAGGAGGAGGGGAGGAGGAGAGAGGAGGAGGAGGAGGAGGAGGAGGAGGAGAGAGAGGAGGGAGGAGGAGGAGGAGGAGGAGGAGGAAGGAGGAGGAGGAGGAGGAGGAGGAGGAGGAGCCGCAGACGGGGAGAGCTTTACCTCCTGTTGCCTCGGGATGCTTGTGGCCGCTGCGCCGGCGCCAGCGCGGCGGCACGCACAACCTGGCGAGGGCGCAGAACGGCGAGTGCCCCGGGCTGGCGATGCGGCCGTGGCCTTCCGCGGACGGCGCGGGCATCGTCGGCTGGACGCACTGGACGGTGTACGTCGAGGACCGCCGTGCCCCGTCGCCGCGCGAGCCATTTCGTTCCCTTCCCCGAGGGCGAGGAGGGGGGAGGAGGGCAGGGTGTCGAAGGGGAGGGGGCAAGAAGAGAGGGGAGGCGATGAGGGGGAGTGAGACGGAGGAGGAGGAGGAGGAGGAGGAGGAGGAGGAGGAGGAGGAGGAGGAGGAGGAGGAGGAGGAGGATGTGGAGGAGGAGGAGGAGGAGAGGAGGATGTGGAGGAGGAGGAGGAGGAGGGAGGAGGAGGAGGAGGAGGAGGAGGAGGATGATGGGGAGGAGGAGGAGGAGGAGGAGTGCGGACGAAGGGGAGCAATACAGGGGCTGGTGGTCGGGGGAACAGGGCGGGGAGGGGGCGAGGCAAGGGCGGAGGGAATCGCGGAGAGAACAGGAACAGGACAAGGCTATCCCACGTAGTGGTTCGCAGAACTCCAGATACCCTCTTACGCAACTCGGCCTTCCCGATCCGCGTGGGCCATATGATTCAAGCCGAGAGGGATACTCGTGCCTATGGGGTTCGAGCTTCTAGGTGCATGGTTTCGCTAGTTCACACACACACACCTCCCAGGGGTGGAAGACGACACTTTTTTCACGAATCTGGCCTGGGACGAAGCGGGGAGACGCGTGCTTCTCGGGCAGGGCTTCGGCCACGGCGGGCACGAAGCGTGTCCAGCATCTCTTTCCCGGCCTCCTCGAGGACGCGCTCCGGAGCAGGAGGGCGGGCGCGCGGCTCGGCGCACGGAGGGCGGCGGGGCGCACGGTATGGGACGGCCCCGCCTCCTGCCGCCTCCGCGAGGCGCGCAGAGTGACGAACCAACAACACGCACCCATACCCACAGAGGGGTCGGAGAGGGCGGTGCGTGTTGTCGGATGGGGGTCCCCGCTCGAACGGGAGCGTTCCCCAGGGTCCCACAGCCCGCACCCATACCCTCAGCCAGTCCTCCTCCCAACGACCCCCCGTATGGGTATGGGTGTGTGTTGCTCGTTCGTCACAGAAGCCTGTGCCGAGAGCGGGCCGGGCTCGCCGCTTCTGGAGCGGCACGGCGTGGCGTCCGCATGCGTCGGAGAGGAAAACGCGGCACAGGCACATGCGTCGGAGAGGAAAACGCGGCACAGGCATAGACTGTTGGCGGTCCGCGCGGCGCGCTCGGGCGCCTCGGGTGCCGCCTCTGGCGCTCCGCCCGCCTCGGCGGCGCCTCGGGCGCCGCCCCCCGGCGCGCTCCGCGCGCCTGTGAGAGGGGGTCCAGCTCAGATCCAAGAAAGCTGCGCAGGCTGTCCACAGTTTATCTCGATGTTTTTTCTTTTTCTAATTGAGGAATCTGCGCGCGAAAGGCCGCCTCCGCGGCCAGCTGACCTGCAGCCAGATTGCTGCAACCTCGGTGGGCGACGTTCGATCCATGCCCCCCCCCACTCTGGCTGCCAGGGGGGCGCAGGGCATGGATGAAAGCACTTGGCCTCTAGAGGCTGGGTTTTTATCCATGCCTTTGCTCCGCTTTGGAGTTCTGACGTGAGCAGGGGCATGTATAAGACGTCGATCGTTTACAATCAGGGAAGACAGCATCTCCTGGGAAACGATGGCATCGGGAGGCAGATGAGAATTAGCGGACAGAATCGTGGTTTCACCTATTCACGCTTGCATGGGGGACTTATTTGGAGCCAGAGATTCGCATCAATACCATTGAGTTGTTGGCAGGCGGGGGGGTCACCTTCCCCCCTCTTCTGCAAAACCAGGGGGGGAGGGGGGCGTCCGGAACGTGTCCCCCCCCCCGCCACCAGGAAAATTAGTGGGGGGGTCTGGAAATCCCCCCCCCCAGGGAAAAATTCCCCCCCCCCCCCCCCCTCCGTGAGACAATTAATGTGGGGGGCCCGCCGGACCCCCCCCCTCCCCGCCCCCCACCCCCAGCAAAATCATTAAGGTGTCCACAACGCTCCCCCCTCCTGGCGACAACGAAGACGACGACGAAGACGACGACGAGGAGGACGTACGACGTACGACGTACGACAACGACGACGACGACGACGACGACGACGACGACGACGACGACGACGACGACGACGACGACGACGACGACGACGACGACGACGTACGACGTACGACGTACGACGTACGACGTACGACGACGAGGGTTACGACCACTACGATGAAGGCGACGACGACGACGACAACGACTGACGACGTACGACGACGACGACGACGACGACGACGACGACGACGACGACGACGACGACGACGACGGCGGCGACGACGACGACGACGACGACGACGACGACGACGACGATGAGGTCGCAAGACGCACGGCGCACGGCACACGACGCACGACGACGACGACGAGATCGCGCGACGCACGACGCACGCCGCACGACGTCTTCACACAGTCAGCCCAAGACGGCCGCAACCTTTTTCCGATATGGAGTCGCCCGCAAACCCCGACCTTCGTGTCATCACAGCGCCATGGGCTGGGCTAGAGCCTGAGCGCGCGAAGCGCGCGTGATTCTAGACCCTATGGACGTCCGAGAGGCCTCGCGTTATTACCTGCCGTGCGGAATACACGTTGCTTCAATGCAGCGGTCTGGCCCCTGATAGCCACCATGGTCCACAAGGGCGGAGGCCCGGACTCTGCGACCACTGGCCAATCCGACCACTACGTGTCCACTCGACGCTGGGGTATCGGACATCTCCGCTGGGGCTCACTCGGCTGCAGACATCCTCCATACTCTGAGCCTCGTCCTGCTTTTCTGCTTGTGGACCTGCAGGGCGCGCCAGGGTACAGCGCCGGTTTTGATACATGCTCCGCGTGCGGATCATGTCTTAAAAAAATGCAGGGATTTAGCATTTCATAACAACGCTGAGTTCATGCATAATCTTTTAGTCATACATGACTCATGTATTGAAAATCTTGTTTTTTATTCTACAAAAAAACCCTATGTATTAGAAACTGCCCTGTAGGCCTAACGTGTGGTCGCCACAGCACCACTGCGATGCAGGACGCCGATGTGTGTCCGCGCACCGAGAGGGCGGCAGGCGTCGCGCGCGCTCCCGCCTGCGGACGCTGCCTGGCTCTGCCTTTTGCTGCTCGCCGCGGCCGCGCGGTGACAGTCCTGCCGGGATGCGACGGGTCCGTCTTTGTAAGGCGAGATGATGTGATGCTGATGCTGATGATGATGATGATGATGATGATGATGCTAATGATGATGCTGATGCTGATGCTGATGCTGATGATGATGCTGATGATGATGATGATGCTGATGCTGATGATTATGATGATGATGATGATGATGATGATGATGATGATGATGATGATGCTCATCATCATCATCATCATCACAAGCATCATCCTCACCATCGTCATAATCATCATCATCATCATCATCATCATCATCATCATCATCTTCATCAGTATCATCATCATTATCATCATCATCATCACCGTCATGATCATCATCACCATCATTAGCATCATCATCGTCATCACCATCACCATCATCACCATAATCATTACCATCACCATCATCACCATCATCATCATTCTCATTATCATCACCATCACCATCACCATCATCATCATCAGCATCATCATTAGCATCAGCATGATCATCATCATCATGACCATCACCATGATGATGATGATGCTCATCATCATCATCATCATCACCAGCATCATCCTCACCATCGTCATAGTCATCATCATCATCATCATCATCATCTTCATCAGTATCATCATCATTATCATCATCATCACCGTCATTATCACCATCACCATCATTAGCATCATCATCATCGTCATCACCATCACCATCATCACCATAATCATTACCATCACCATCATCACCATCATCATCATTCTCATTATCATCACCATCACCATCACCATCACTATCACCATCACCATCACCATCACCATCACCATCACCATCACCATCACCATCACCATCACCATCACCATCATCATCATCATCATCATCATCATCATCATCATCATCATCATCATCATCATATGTATTATCTGAAGAGCGTCTTCAGCGGATCGAGACCCTGGGCGAGCAGTCAAAATCAGGTTCTAGCGGGTCTGGGCCCCAGGCGAGACAGCAGAACACACTCCCAAGGGGTCGAAGCCCATGGGCGGGAAGATGTATCAACAAATCCCGGCGGAACGGGCCCCCGGCAGAATGATGTCAACAGATCTGGACAGATCGGGGGCCTGGGCGCGAACAAAGAGCAGATGGCAGGGGAAACGCAGAGCCTAGCGGATCTGGCCCCTGGGCGGCAGAACACCACAGCATCCCAGTGGATCAAGGTCCCGGCGCGTCGGATGAGGGCCCCGGGCGATTTAATCAAAAACAATTGGCCTGCGTGCCCTGGCTCTTGCACGAGATAGCAGCAAGGACCGGGTGGTCAGGGGCACGAGAGTCGAGGGCTCAGAGCTCTAGAACACAGCTGTGCAAGAGCATAAAAGGGCTCCAGGCTCTCTGACGCAAGTGTGCAAGCGAACAAAGGCTCAGGGCCAAGGGGGGAGGCCGGGAGCCAGACAGCCCGCAGGAGGTCAGGAAGAGGGTGCAGTGAGGACGCGCTTCAAGAGAATCCGCTTCTATTCTGCCAGGGTGCCCTGGGCTTCTTGTGTCTTGGGTTCGAAGGGGGTTGCAGTGAGAACCGCAGGGCTCCGAGACTCTGAATCCATCGGATCCCTTGGACGTTAGTGTTCGTGCTTCTTGTGGAGGCTTCTTGTGGCCTAAGTACAGGGTAGCCCTGTGCAGGCACGCCGATCTCGTCCCGCGCAGGCCAGGGCTTGCGTGCTGGCTCGCCCATTGTAGGAGGAGGCTCGGCTTGGCTAGGCTCTGCGCTTGGGGGTGCATGCAGTCTGAGGCATGCT